CTGTAACATAAACTGTGTAATTTTCAACATCATTTATTTTGAGTTTTGAATTTTGCGTTAGTGATATATGGGCTTTCTGTGTATCTGAAGTTAACTACCTGTACTAAGTATTTCCATAGCTATGGTGAGTTATTTTATAAAGCAGTTTGCTAGAGTTCCTTTGGCAGTGCTGATGGATTTTTGCTTGCCTTAGGGTGATTTATGACTTAGCAAAGTAGACTTTACCAAGATGCTTTAAATCAGTTTGGAATTTATAGACTTAGGGTTTCTTTGAACATCAGAGAAGCACCTTAATTAGAGGGAGGGACTTCTTTCAGTTTTACTTTGTTTTTGGCAGTTCTGTAAAGTCCTTTAGATGTGAATCGTTATAAATATCATTGCTCATGAGAAGGGGAGAACATAGCAAAACTAGATTGCCTCAGACTAATGAATGGCTCCAAACCAGAAGTTTTGGAATAAAAAAAGCCCTGAACAGATTACTTGAAGCTGATTACATTTAAACTCAAGAGTGTGCGATAACTCCAGGAAGATACTAGAGGAGTTTCCAGTCTCGGTGCTACTGTCACCTTAAGCCTTCAAGGTGTTAAGAAAGTACTTTTTTCTCAGATGTGCATACTATGCAAGTGGTGCTTTTGGGTGCAAGAAATGTTATATTATTTTGGAACTTGTAAATGAGTGTTTCGGGATTAATGGGATTATAATCTTATTGTGTGATTTAAAATCTGCATTTATGTTATAACCAGAGTTTAATTTACTCATATCTTCCTTTATTGTGGCTAATAAACTTCTGTTTTGTCATTAAGGTAACATCTTCAGCATCGGATGCTTATGTTTCAGTGAGAGGCGAGCTCATCAAAACTAAAACAGAATTAAAATGATCTATCAAGCCAAGTTTCGATCTGGAACTGACTCCTGCACTAATAACCTTAGCTGGGGACATAACATTATATAAAAAAATGCAGAGGTGTATAGGGTCCGTAATTTAGGGACACAGCTGCCTCAAGGTTGAATCCATTGGTGTTTTCAACATTGAGGTGATTTAAAACCAGTGTTCTTCGGAGGACACAGCTATAAATCTGAGCTCTTTGTTTAAAATTCCTGTTCATTACACTTGGTGAGACAGTCAATCAACTTCTTAGCTGCTTAATCTGAGTATTGTAGCCAGAACATGTGTTTAAAGGACGCAAGATTGTTGGCTTATCATGAGACTGATCTCTCCAACTGCCATTAATTCAAACATGATCGTATATTCCAACCCTAGCTCAATTAGCTCTTAACTAGTGAGCTACCTTGAACCCATGTCCCACCGTCCTAGCAATTAATCCTAAATAGTCCACCTCCAACTTTTGAATCTCAGGTGGTTCCCATCAGTGCCTTATTAACAGAATAGAAAACAGTGAGAGTTCCTGGGGATCATTGTCTTTGGTGGTTTTCTAGGATGGCTTTCTGATCCTCAATGGGTTTGGAATGTGGAATGGATAAGAATGTAAGTTTGGTTTAGCCGTCTTGAACCATGACTAATTGTTGAGTTTGAATGTCTGTTTTATAAAGGTTCAATTTATGTTTCCAGCCATTGGATGAAAGTTCATTACATGTCAGACTTCAGTCGCAAATAAGTTGCCGATAATGTGATGGGTATAAGAATCAGTTCCTCATTGCAGTCACTGTCCCCCATGTAGGAATGTGGCTAAAATGTCACATCAGTGCTTTAAAAATTGATATGGAGTGGCACGCTTCAAGTTACAGTTTCTGATAACAGGTGAGTGAGCTATTCCAGGAAAACAGTCATGGAAGCAAAAATTAGAACGTGCTTGAATATTCCTCATGTACAAGTAGGAAGGGAGTGAACAAGGATAGGAGTTATTTCTCACATTTACCGAACGATGCCATAACTGATCTATAATAGTCCAATTTACCAACTTTTTTTTTTTTTTTTTGCACACAACCGAGTCTCCCAGGGTCTAGTTCTGGCCAAACTGATGGACTGTTGAGGACAGGAAAATTGACAACATCGCAAACTATTTTCTGATCGAATAATCTTAAGTATTTTTCTAATTGTGTGTCTACATAAACTCGACTTTATGCTCATAACCCAGCTTTATGTAAACCTCCACAGGATCTTGTCCTTCTACATGATCTCTACCATCTAGGGACAAAAGCAGCAGATACAAGGGAACATCAGCTCCTGCAAGATCCCTTCCAAGCCACTGGAAACTACTGACTGGAAACTACATTGCTGTTTCTGTGGGGTTGCTGGGTCAAAATCCTGGAGCTCCCTCTATACCCATTCAGTAAGTATTCTAACCATCATCACCACACCCTCCTCTCAATAGACTTCACCTTCTCCAGGGCAATTAGGGATGAGCAATGAATGCTGGCCCAACTATCGATGCCCATGTCTGTTGTAAGATATTTTTTAATATGCTTTCAATGTTACTCTTGGCCTTTATTCCCTCATGAAATTCAACTTGGGAATTTCTGTTGATAACGTAAGGGTTGAGGGGTTAGGAATTTATTTGGGCTATTTAAATCGGGTAATGGTGAATCATAACCTATGGAGAGGAAAACTGATCAGCTTAACAGGGTCAAATGATTCATCAGCAGCCTTTCTATACGGTCATCCAAGCTGCACTGATATCCCTGCAATCTGGAATCATCTTTGCAACTTCATCTGAACCCTCTCCAGTAGGAAGGTAGTTTCACCAATGATGCTAAAAGGACTTAATTTGATGTGAGTTTTCAAACATCTTCCAGACAATTATACTTCCATTAAAGAATTACATTTTAATTATAATTGTACAACTAAACTCACTGTAATCTGGCATTTTAGGGGCTGGCACCAGAAAACAATAATGGAATGTGTTGGTTGAGTAAAATCCCAACTGGTCTCTCAAAGAGAGATCCTTTCTTCCCCTAGTCTGCTTTACACATGCCTCCAACTCTTAATTTCAATAGGACAACAGGGATTGACAATAAATGCAGCCTTGTCAGTATTGTGCATGCCCCAGTTGCAAATATACATATGTGTACATTTATCATGCTTTATTAATGTATGCACATGTTATAGATTCTATAAATTCCAGTCAGTAATGTGGATCATGTTACTTAACTTAAGTGAGCAGCTGAGTGTAGGATTGATGGAAAGTTTCATGCTGGTGTTTGGAAGAACGGATTTTGTATTGATTCTGAACACCATGTTAGTACAGGTAACAACAGAGTTGCATCAACTTTGCCGTCTCACATATTTTCTATCTCAAAATTTTGATCATGTTGTCATCCTATCCCCTCAAACCACCACCCCACCCTCCCCAAACCCTCAAACTCATCGAGTGATTATTACGATGATATATTGTATCGAGCCTGCCCCACACTGGATTCTTACACCAGTTTGGTTGACTGAATTGGCTGTTGGTCTGTTAAGTGAGTCAGGGTATATCCTTTTGGAAGGAAGTCCCACTTCCAAGGGCTGCTGGCCAGGTGGACAGCTGAAACCCTCTAATCTTCTCTGAGAAGGAAAACCCAGTAAAACTGGCAAATGACATATACTGGTCTTGTATGCTTTTAAATTAAGCTTCAATATGATCATTTCCAAATGTTATTGCATTTTGACTGTTTTTATTCCCTCTGGGATGACTGGTTTTGATTGCCAAAGGAGTCAGACAGCCATTTTTAAGAGGTTTTGTTTTCATTTTAGGTCTGGTTCTTGCCCTGATCTGGTATCCCATCCACATAGCCATGGAAGATGGGCAAGATGGCAACAGTGTGTGTATGTGGGGTGGGGGGTACAGTCATGTGACAAAGAGGGGATGAGTTCAGAAAGATCCGGTCATGAGGCATCAGGCACTTTGTCTTGAATGTTATGCCTCTATTCAACCTCCTATCTGGATACCCGCACTGAGGAAGTGGGGTGAGACATAAAATTGGGTGCCAGGTTGGCAGCACTGTACCCATCACATACCCACCTCCAATGGCATTTCACCAGTGGGGCAGGACATGTGTTGGGTAGCTTGCTCACTCTTGGCCCTAATTGCATAATAAATGGTCACTTAGGTGCCCCTTTCCTGTGAACACTGGTATTTTACCAATGTCGCTCCCAGTGGCCACTGCTTAGATTGCAGGCTGTCCCCAACACCACGGAACCGCTGAGGAAGATAGTGAGGTCAGATCAGGCTCTCTCCTGTGAATGGAGTGGTCATCCAGGGTCAGGGTGGTAGCGCTGAGGATTACACAGGGTGGGTTATGGACCACAGGGCACCTGTACAGGGACAACCGCTCAACATCCCCTAGCACCAACACAGGCTTGAACTCTCAGTCTCTCCAATAATGTGGACGACCCCTGCTACTGGGAATGTTTAATTTTCCAATATCATTTGACCACTGCGATAAATGAAAACAACCTGTCTTGATATTCACCCATGTTTTCCCTTCGGTTGCAATATTTTTTCTTCGATTCCCCTCCTCATTTTGGAAGCTAAAAGCTGAAATGCTCCCTTGAAAATTCATAGTTCTTAAAAGTGACCAAAAGCAAAATTACGTTTCTCGATGAAATCGCTCGAATTAACGCTGCGGAGAGAAACAACAGAAAATTTGTCCACCCTTTCTTCAAATCCACAAAACTGCTGTAGCAACAGCTGTAGGTTTCCGAGGATGCTTGAAGATATTTGGGATCCAACATTTGGAGGGGATTGTGAACCGTGAGCTGCTGGGGTGTTTTGTTTTGCCTCAGAACGGTTTCTAGAAAGGAAACTGGAACAACTTTCCCTGCCTTTCTCTTGGTTTGTGATAACAGCTTCTAAAGAGCCACCAAGTGGAAAAAGTCAGCGCAATCCAAACACGTTTTTGCACAATCACTAATTGCCCATTGCATCATCTCGCCAAGTCTGCTTCCAAAAAAAAACAAACCCCTCCGGGCTGGACCGTCCCCTTGCACCCTCCCCTCTGTATCCATCAATCAGATCCAGCTCTCCAACAGGTCTGTCCAAAAGCAATATAGTCGGGGGGGAGATCCCACCCTGAAATGTCACAAACGATTAGCAACAATTAAGAAATAGACATGGCTGATCAAGTCCTGTTGGCTAGGGTGTAATTGACTGGGTACTGAGTGTCATGTGCTGCCTGTGTAGGCTACAGTAAATCAATGTCCTGGCTTTCAGTGGGTCAGTCTCTGCCCCCTCCTCCCTGCTCACTTTGAACCTCACATGATGTTAGTAACATTTCTCTTGGCCTTATAAAGGAACCACAGGAGTTCACTACAGCCAGAGCTCTGGACTCAGGAGATCAGGGACTTCCTTGTCGCCCACCCTCCCCTGACTTGAAGGGAAGCAGAGAACTGTACAGAAATCTGGAACATCCACCAGCTTTTCCAACTCTTCAAACATGAGTCGTCCGGTGAACGGAATCCATGGCAACGCCGTACACGATGAAGGGGTCTTCATGTTCACTTCAGAATCTGTGGGAGAGGGACATCCTGGTAAGTCAGAGCACAGAAAGGGCTTGCATTTCTGTAGCACCCTTCGGGATGCCCCCACACAGCGCTCCCAAGTGAAGTGCAGTCTCAAGGTGGGAAATGTAGCAGCCAGTCGGTGCACGGCAAGATCCAAAGGCACCAAAGTGATCGTGACTGAGTAACTTGGTTTTTACTGGGGGGGCTTGTTGGTTGAGGGCTAAATACTGATCTTTGGACACTTACCCTGCTCCTCTTTGAAATAATACCAGAGGATCTTTAATGCCCAGATGCAGAAGCAGGCAGAATTTCTGTTTATGTCCCTTGTAAAAGACAGTGTCCCTGACACTGCTGCACTCTCCCTGCACTGCTCTGGGAGTGTTAACCTATGTTGCAGTGATGAAGTTTGAGAGTGTCTGCTGGTAATAGTTACAATGTGTTTACTAGACAGCCAGTGCTCGAAATGTGGAGCGGGTGAGGCAGGAGATGCAGAAGTGAGAAGGTATGTTATGAGCCTTGGTCATTTTGGGGTTTGGTTAATGAGGGGAATCCAGCCTTCCGTTGGTAGGAAGTGGGGTGCCTGTGTGACAGTGGTTAACAGAATAATGTGGAGAACATGGCCAGTGCATTCAGGTGATTATGTAGGTATGGAAATGTGAGGATAAGGTAACAATCTCAGCAGTAGGGTGCCAGAGATGGGAAAAATTCACATTGTGTAAAAGGTGCTGTACAAATCAGTTATTCCCAAATGACTTTGTGATGACAAAATAGTTTGACTTCAGTCAGTGTTGTTCTGAGAGGCAAACCACAGATTGATTTGAAGTTGTTAGTTCATTTTGGTGGTGGGGGTTGAGGCATGAATGTTGGTCCAGATGCTGAGAGAACTCTTCCTCATGATGTGCTGTCCCTATCCAATGGATAGCATTTCTGGTTGATGTCTCACCTTTAAAGTCAGTGATTCCAGCACTGAGCAATCCCAATGAACTCAATTTGTCAACTAGCAGTCGGAGGTTTAATTACCTATCTGAGCATGTGACAACTGAAACAACCCCTGTTTTTCTGTGTTTTGAGGGGCTTTGGACTGATGGCCTTGCACTCTGCCAGTTGGGGGATGGTTCGGATAAAGATAGTGGCTAGGAATGTCCCAAGTGCTCTCCTGCATGGACTGTCATAACCTCAGCAGTGGATCACCAGAAAATGTTGTGCAATGGTTTTGGGACCCTGAAGCAACCTTGCAATGATGTCACAGTGTAGCACACAGCTGAGCATAAATGGAACAGTGTGAGCAGAATTGAAACTCTGGAAGAATCAAGTGGGCATGAAACATAAAGAAAGTGCATTAGTCCTTGCCTAATGTATCTATAAGATCAGAGCCTGGTATATTTATTATCATGTACTGCAGTATTTAGAATTAACTTATAATACATACTGTTATTTTGAAGCCCTTGACTTTGCCTTCTCCTTAACCAGTGTGTCTGGAACACAAACTCTCCATATGGTGAGAAACTTAAGAAAAATAGTGCAAATCAGGCCATTCCCATTCCTTGTTTTATTTCTCTCAGACTCCAAACCTGAACAATTTGGTGTTTCCCAGTTGCCCCTCCTTGCAATGTCAAATAGTTTTGGGGGCTCTTTGGCAGATCATTCCATTTGCACTGTCTCTTTACTTGGTGGGGATAGTCTGGGGAAGGCTTCCTGCATATGCCACGGCTTTGCTCATTCTGGGTGAGATCTACCCACCAAGCAGAATCCTCTAGAATCCTGCACAATTTGTAGTGGAACAAGAGTTATGGACTTCCAATACCACTGATATACAGCGAACTGAACCTTAACCATAGAGCTCGGTGGGTAATTGTCATCCCATTCAGTGTTAGAAAGCGGCAGGCAGTGAACACTGACACCCTGATTGACTTTCCTCTATCAGTTTTCCAAGAGGGACAAAGTATTTAGTATATATTGCCTCCTTTATACTATTGATCAATTCTTGCAAAAATAATATGCAGGGTATATGCATCATTGGCTGGGCCTACATTTATTGCATATTCCCCAACTTTTCTCCAAAGATAGATTTCTTGAACCACTGCAGTCAATGTGTTGTGGCCATGCCCACCATGTTCTGAGGGAGTTCCACAATTTTGACCAGTGACAGCGAAGGAACAGCAATATATTTCTAAGTCAGGATGCTTTGAGATTTGGAGGGGTCTCTGCAGAAGGTGCTGTTCCCATGTCTCTGCTGCCCTTGTCCTTCTAAATTGTAGCAGTTGCAGATTTGGAAGATGCTGCCAATTTTGGCTACAGAAGTACAATGTGCTTAGGTCTTAGGATTTCAAGAATTCTCCATCCCACTTACATTTCTTAGAGGTGAAGATTTGAAATGATGCAGGCCTCTAATCCTTTTGTCCACTGAGAAAGAATCTGGAGGTTTAGGAAGATGGACTTACTGTTTTATGTTCGCAGTAGCAGATTTCTCTTATTGCACTCAGTCAAAGTGCAAAAATTAATGTTATTATAGTTCCTCAAGTTGAGAGTTCAAAACCAACTCATTTCTCTGAATGCCCCACTCCTATTTCGTAGGTAGGGTCATTTTTCCTCCTCTGCTCAGAATATGCCCTACAAAATCTTCTTACCAGAAACCTAATTTTATGTCCTATAACCAGTGGATTTATTTCCACTTGTCCTCATATAGTTTTTGATGGTTGGACCAACAGAGTTTTAGTATCACCCATCCACATACCAGCTTGATAAGATTGAACTTTTCATGCTCATTTTCTGGATTTCGTCTCTGCAGTGGCAACATCAGCAAACGTTATTTGTGGAACAGGATTTTTAATTTGTTGGAGCAGTGCAGCCATTAACCACAAGAAGGATCATTTGACATTTTTAATAACCTCCTTGAGGAAGAGACCAGATGTGAAGATTAACCAAAGGTCCTTTTATAATTCCAATATGCTTTAGCAAGAAAGAAAAGGTCACCTGACCTCTCGACTCCATTTTCTCAACGATAAAGTGACTTTTTGGGTTTATTTTTCAGTAGTTCACATTTAAGTGACGAGCCTGCAATGTGCAATCATGGCAAAGATGCATTCGACAAGAGACTCCCATCACTAAGCCACTTGGGGGAGTTAGGCAATAGGTTTGGATCTTTCTACCATCACTCACACTCCGAAATGAACTTTTAAACACAGAACCAGCTGACCAGCTGTTCCATGTGCAATGTATCTCTATCATACCCTGGAGAAGTGCAACTTTGCACCCAAACGATTTTAAGGTGTTTACCACCCCCCCCCCCCCCCCTCCCCTCCCCTTACTGTCTTTGTTCAATGCACAGAAAAGGGATGAAGGCACTTGGCTCCATAGCATTTTAAGTTAATTTGGAATGTATCGGTAGTTGTGAAGTTGTTGACTAGTTTAGCATTTATTTCCTCGCCTGATTAGTGGTTTAAATGATCAGATAGTACAACTGGCAATGACCAGTCTCCTTACTTCCCAGTCAGAAAATCTAGATTCAAGTCCCACCTGGAGGTATGTCATAACATGTACAAACGGGTTGATTAAGCATTAAGATTTTTTTTAAGAAAATAGTACAAGACAGAAAGAAGTCATCAAGTTAGTGCTAGCTATTTTGTTGTATCTTAACCTATGCAATCTGTTCTTATTAACCATTTTATCATTCTGCACTCCCTCCAAGGCTAATCTTTTCTGAGTGTACTGTCTAAAGGAGGAATTTGATGTGCACTCTCTGAAAAAGACAGTGGAGAATGACATGCATATGAGGCAAACACAGGAATGGTGGGTTCCGGGGAACAGGGGTCTTTCAATCCCTCTCAACACCCAGTTGCTGCAGACTCTGTCTGTCTGTTTTTTCCTGGAATGATCCGGAGTATGATTTTCACTGTGACAGAACACAACAAGATCCTAGGAACACCCAGCTGTGCCCATGCCCCACTCTACAGTGAGAGGTAGGAGTAGGCCATTCAACCCATTGACTCTGCTCTGGCATTCAATGGGATCATGGTTGCTCTGATAATCTTCAATTCTACTTTCCTGGTATATCCCATTTCCACCCCACTCCAATAACTCTTGATTCCCTTCCTGATTAAAAATATGTCCATCTCAGTCTTGAATATACTTAATAACCCAACCTTGACAGCCCACTGCAATGAAGAATTCCATGGATTCACTACCCACAGAGAAAATATTCCTTCTCCTTTCTACTTTAGATGTGAGAGTTTTTACTGTAACCTACTCATCTCCCCTGCCCTGGCATTTTAAAGCACACAGTCCCGAGTGGGAAATTGCAAGGGTGGGTGGTGAAGGTGAGGTTGTGTGTGGTGGGGGGAGATGCAAAAGGGTAAGGGGTCCTAACTTGTACCCCAAGTGTCACAGAAAACACATTTCTGAGGGCAGCGAATCTGGTTCCATTTTCAAGGCCTATCACAAGAGTCCTGGAGATTGGAGTCGGGGAGGGGGGTGATTTTTTGCAGCCTTTACCTGCAACCTAGTACAGTGTGCCAGCCACACAGCGAAAATCGACACTGGTATGGTCTCCAATATGTGGGAGTGCAACTCATTCAATCCTGGAGTGTCTCACACAGGAGGAACGTGGAACAGTCTGTCAAGAGGCAGCACAGTGTGATCTCCAGACTGAGATCCGACCTGGATGAGAAATCTTACAGTCACCACCTCCTCATCGACCTTAGCATGGGCTTTCAATTTTTGTTGTTTCTGCTTGTGATTAAAAGTGTCTTGCCTTCTGCCACCTGGGACTCTGAAGGCAGATTTGTTAATGTGAAGTATCGGGAATGCTGCCCTCTAATACCCAACTGTTCTAGGAATTCCCTGAAGAGAATCAACAACTTTCCTTGCAGTTTCCAAAACTGTTAGGTGACTTTCTGCCCATCAACATGACAGCTGATAGCGGCCTAACACTGTCGCCTTTCAGCAGAGAGTGGGCATGGCTATGTTTCAGAGACACACAGGGTCTCACACTGGGGTGAGCTGCGCTCTTTACTGACAATGTAATCCCAATATAATCTGCATTCTTATTCCCCATCCCACCATAAGCACTAGTGTTAAGCTGGAGGACAGTCCCATGTACATCAGTCGCCCTACTGCAACCAGATCCCAATAATCAAATCAACTCCAGCCAACACCCTCCCTGCCGCTGTTTTGTGATTGGAAGCTGGAACTCTGGCTGATATTCTTTCTCAGCCTACGCATTCCAGAGGCACTGCAATGTCTCCAAATAAAAATGTTCATTCACATAGCATTTTGCATGATGTCAGTCATCCCAAGACACTTTGACCAACCAAATAGACTTTGAAGCTGTTGTAAAGGCAAACGCAGTGGCTAATTCACAAAGCATCACAAAGAGAAATGGGGGTATAGTGAGTCTGTTCCTGATGATGTTTTGTAAGGGCTGGATATTGGCCAGGATACTGGAGAAAGTCACCCAGCCCAGCCCCCAACTCTTCTTTGATTAATGACAGGGGAATCGTGGTATGGTAGTCAGATCATTTAGATGAGAATGTGGGTTCAATTCCTTCTACGGCAACTGGTGAAACTGAAATTGAATTATCACAGGGATTTAAAAACTGGTCTCTATTATAGTGACTGGCAATTTGTAGCAAAGGTTCACCCAGCTGATACTGGGGATGACCGTACTGTTCTATGTGGAGAGATTGGTTTGACTGGGCCTGTATTCACTAGAGTTCAGGATCTGAGTGAAAAGTATAAAACTCTAACAAGATGGATAGACTTGATTCAGGGAGGATGCTCCCACTGGCTGGGGAGTCTAGAACAAGGGATCATAGTCTCAGGAGACAAGGTAGACCATTCAGGTCTGAGATGAGGATTCATCTCTTCACACCAAGGGCGATTGACCCATAGCATGCTCTACCGCACAAGGCTGTGGAGGCCGGGTCACTGAATATATTGAATTAGTGTTGTTTTTTTTTTTTTTTAAGATCTTAAATGCACCAACAGGTGTGGAGTGACAGTGTGGGAATATGGTATTGAAACAGAGGATCAGCCAAGATCATACAAAATGGCAAAGCAGGGTTAAAGGCTTCTGGTTTTGCTGCTTCTACAAAGCTTACAGGAGAGGTGATTAATTATAGATCCAAGGAATTGTTTTGGACACCCAAGTTTGAATCCCACCATGGCAGATGGTGGAATTTGAACTCCATTAAAAATTTGAAATTAACAGTCGAAAGAAACATAACTGTTATCAATTGTCAGGGAAAAACCCATTGGGTTCAATTATCACCTTTAAGGAAGGTGATAAGGCTATGTTTACCTGGAATGACTTCAATGTCATTACAGACCCACAGCAACTTGGTTGAATCTTAACTGCCCGCCAAGGATAAGGGACAATAATAAATGCTAGTCTGGCCAATGATGCTCACATCCCAAGTAGGAATATTTTTTAAACTACTTCCATAGACACTATCTGCTTCAGGGGTCGCTCAGTGGCTAGCACTACTGCCTCACAGCACCAGGGACCCAGGTTCAAATCCAGTCCTGGGTGACTGTGTGGTGTTTGCACATTTTCCCTGTCTCTGTGTGGGTTCCTGCTAGATGCTCGGGTTTTCTCCTACAGTACAGTCATGTGCACTTAGGGCATACAGGCCATGCTAAATTGTCCATAGTGTCCAGGGATGTACGCAAATGTGGGGTTATAGCTAGGGATGGGTCTGAGTGCTCCTCAGAGGGTTGGTGTAGACATGATGTGCTGAGTAGCCTTTTTCTACATTGTATGATTAAATAATTTTATTTTGGGGAAGAAAATCTGCCATCCTTAGCCTGTCTGGCCTACCTGTGACTCTGCATCAACAGCAAAGTAGTTTAGTCTTCACCATGTTCTGAAATGACCCCATGAGCCACTTAGTTCAAGGGTAATGAGATAGGCTGACAAATGTTAGCCTTGCCACTGGTGCCCATAATGTAAGAATGGATTCTGGATACACAAGGTGGCAGACTGGAGGATACAGAGGCTACACAAATCTTGATGTGTACTGATCTATTCTGCAGACACAGAATTCTCCTCATTCATATCTTAATAATCATTAAATCCGTTATTATTAGTCAGCCTTTCCTAATCTTCCTGTTCTTTTCTCCATGGCCCATTCTACATCTCAGACCTCAGGACATTCCAAAGTTAAAGCCACGTACACAAATTCACTCTGTTGCTGCTGTTAATACAAAATTTCTCTTCCTCAGATAAAATCTGTGACCAGATCAGTGACGCTGTGCTGGATGCCCATCTTAAACAGGACCCTGATGCTAAGGTTGCCTGTGGTGAGTGAATTGTGTCATTGAGTTTGCAGCAATGTGATGTTCTCAGCCATTTGACTACTGGACCAGGAAGGACTGGAGATGAATTATCTGACAGCAACAGGAATAAATTAATTCAGCACCAAAGAGGTTAAAATTCATTGGCAAAACCAAGTCTGAGAGGTGATTTGATTGAAGTCTTTCAAATATCCAGGGATTTAACAGGTTAAGCATAGAGAAGATGTTTCTCAACTGGAGGCAAACCCAAAGTTCAGTCTCATAAATATGATAGTTATCAATAAACCCAACAGGGATCATATTAGAGGTTCCTCTGTCAGAGAGTGATGAGAATGTATAGCTCGCTATCACAAGGAATGGTTTAGATGAAAAGCATAGAATAATTTAAGGGAGAAGATACATAAGGCTGTGAGAGGGAAAATAATAACTTCATTGGTGAGGTGAAGATATGGGAAGAAGTTCATTTTGAGCATTAACACCAGCATGTGCCTGTAGGGCCTAATGACCTGTTTTTGAGTGGTTAATTCTCATCTACAGAGATGTCCTGGAGCATACATAACTGGCATCCAACAACTACAACCATCTTGATTTGTGCCACATATGACTCAAACCAATGGCAAGACTCCCACCCCCGACCTCGATTCCCATTGACTCCAGTTTTGCTAGGGCTCCTTGATAAGCCACCCTTATCAGCATCCCTTGGCATCTTCTAAACATTGATAATTTGGATCTGAGGATATAGCAAAAGTGAGGTCCAATTTACTGGATGGAACTTGTGAAATGTAATGAAATCAAAAGGATTGTGGAAAGCGATCGATTACCACTTGTGCTCTGTGATTAGAAAACCACTTTACTAAACTTAGCAATTAGAAAGCAACTAAACAAACATTCTTCAGAATTCGGCCAAATAAACCATAATTCCACATAATTTCAATGGTCTCTCACTGACAGAAGCTGCAGTGAGATGTTTTGTAGCACACTACAGGTTTCATTCTGTATCATCACCATATTCTCTTTGATGTGGCTATGGTTAATGTTGGCTCCAGAAGCTGGAAATGGCTAGTGCTTCAGTTTCCACCTGCCCACAAGTAGCAGAATAAAATGCCTCCTAATCTGAGAGTGGCTTTTGCACTCATTGTCACTTCCCTCCTGTGTTCCACAGAGACTGTCTGCAAGACTGGGATGGTGCTGTTATGTGGGGAGATCACCTCTTGTGCCTTTGTTGATTACCAGAAGGTGGTGAGAGACACAATACAGTACATTGGATATGACAATTCCACTAAAGGTCAGTGAAAAGTCCCATGGTGTCAATTTCTTTAAATTAGAAGAGCAACACCTTGCATTGCATTGGGAAGGAACCACCATTTAAAAGCCTCCCCATTTCAATTCTCATGATATATTTTGAACTATTTTACAAAATAATTCTACACTGAATCTATCCAATGACTAACCACTTTGGGAACTAGCCGAAAGCATTATCAGTTTGCTCGCTTTCTCTGCTTACCATACAGAGCTTAGCCAGGAGATGTTCCCAGGCAGTGGAAACTGTTGTGCACGTCATCATTCTTCACGTATGAGCCCAGACCATTGCAGGGTTTCACAGCAAACTCTCCTGTCCTGTCCCAGTGTTGATACTGTCCAGGTAGTGCTTTCCACAGTTTGTTGATAGTGTTCAGTTTGAATAAACTCCTGGTGGTGCTTTAACTAAATGTATCATCGCTGTTGAGATGTAGTAACTCAGCACAAAGCTCCTAGTATAGCTCAGTTACATGGCATTAGTGGCAATTTCTCATCACCCAAAATCTGTAAACTTGCCCTCCAACACCAGAACAGCCTTAACCCAAAGCAGCACTAAGATTGCACACTGACAGCCAGGAGAAATCCTCACTCCTGTCTCATCCCTTCCCTCACTAATATATACTTAAAACAATCTGCACACTTAACGGTAACAGTCCTCACTTGCTGACACAGGTGTAAACCCTAACCTTATAGCTCCACCATCTTCCAAACAATCCCTGCCAGATATCCTGAGAAATTGAACTGTCCTACACATGGAGAACATGTTCATTATTCATGAAACAGTTATGGGCTTTCTCACTTCATAGGGCTTGGAATTTCATACGAGCTTATTAAAATTTTGCTCCCTCATTTTCACTTCAGCTTAAACCTTCTGTGATTTGCACCAATAAAATAGTTCTCAACATGGCATAAGCAATATAATAAACACAGAAAGAGCTGGAGAAACTCAGCAGGTCTGACAACGCCCGTGGACAGAAATAAGGCTCATGTGTTGAGTCTAGTATGACTCGTCTTCAGAACCACTGTTTCAGAATGAACAGCATTTTGCTTCTTGTAATCGTTGGTGAGGTTCTAAATGCTGCCGTGTTCCAGGACTGGTCACTGCTGCAGTGAGTGGGAAGGCAAAGAGAAATGGAAAATCCCTTCTTTAAGATTCCAGAATCTGTGCTCTATGCTGTTCACTGTGTGGGATGTGTATCTGTTGCTGGGCTCTCACTGCCTTTTGCTGTGTACAGGCTTTGACTACAAGACCTGCAACGTGCTGGTTGCCTTGGAGCAGCAGTCGCCCGACATTGCACAGGGAGTCCATCTAGACAGACACGAAGATGACATTGGCGCTGGAGACCAGGTGTGTTAATGGCCATCACCATTGTGTGTGTGTGTGACCACCACAGCAAGGCCTCTCACCGTCACAATCCAGTGTGCACTCTGAGGCAACCACCAGAGCATTGTATCACAGACAAAACTGACAAAACACTGACTGTCATGAAGAATCAAGGATCTTGGGCGTATAGTGTCTCTCCTTATTGGAACACCATGTGCTGTACTCTATCCATCTCACTTGTTTAGCTTCAAAGCACACAGCAAGTAGCCTTTTCAAGTCCTACTCACAAATAACAAACTCCCAGCAGCTATGTTATTTCAGGATTCAAATCCAAAGCTTCCCCCCTCACTCACCATCTTTCATTCCACATGAAATCAACTTTTGCTTTTAGCCTTATGTACTCCTGCAGTTGGAGCTGTTGAGAATTGGTTTACAGAGAAGCTGGTGAGCCCTGCCTTTTTAATCAGGTTGGCACTGATTCTGCCTGAGAACAGAGGATAAATGGCTCAGACTGCCTTGGGCCTCTAAAACTGGCAGCCTGTGTAAAATAGTACGTAAGAAGGGACCACGAGCTTTCCACTCTACACCCATGAGCAAAAGGCCACCATCATCAAAAACCCTGATGCTCCAAGCCAGAGGGACTGGCCACGAAGCTGATATTTCGCTCAAATATTATCATTGCTGGTAGTGTTGAGTGCAATGGCAGAATGTTAGTGATGCTGTCTACACTTAAAATAGAAAACTGTGCCATTTAATACAGATGGTGCCAGCCTTGCTGTTCAACAGGTGAGAAGATCACAGTTTTGGGCTCCTACTCACAGATGTCAGCGTAAGCTGACACTCCGACTACAGCTCTGAGGGAATGCTACTTTGTAGAAAGCCCTGCCTTTCTGAAGGGACAATAAACCAAAGCTCATTTTAGCTAGTCAGGAGGGGCACACAAAACTAATTCAGTGGTGTCATTTGGATTGGGGGAGAGGGAAGGGGGGTGTTCTTGGTGTCCTGGCTGATAAGGAATCACTGAAATTATGAGTCACTCTGTCACATTTGTTTTTGTTTTGAAAGCTTGCTGTGCATATGTTGGCTACCGCTTTGCAAAAGCGACTTCATTCTGAAAGTGCCGCATTGGCTGCAGAGTGCTTTGGGACATATTGTGGTTGTGAAAGATGTCATATAAATACAATCCTTTTTATTTCGAATTCCAAAGTTAGCACACAATTCTCCAAACTGAGGTAGTGCCATCTGTCACACATTAATTGTGACGATGAATTTCATAAACAATGCCTGACTGTCTGTCCATGTACAATCGCACTGGGTAGTGTAAAGCTGCCCAAACAAAATGTTGCGAGCCCACATGGGCTCAGTCTCTTGGTATCAAACAGGCAGATTATTAATACTGTACCTTCTAAAGATTGGGGGCCAACGCAAGGTCTCTCTTGGATTTTCTGTTGAGATGGCTCTGAGGTCCCGGATTTCAAGAGATGCAAAATGCTGACAGCTGCTAATGTGTCATGTTCCGTGTTCACTACAATCCCCTGTCTCCAAGTAGCAGCTGGCTCCTGGGTTGTTAGCAGTGCTGAAGCTGGATTAACTATTGCATCAGTCACAGTTGTGATTCTAAGTAGTAGCAACAGTGCTGTCGGATCATGTTGCTGTAAAACTAGGCTGGGAGGCTGTTTGAAGGGAATGTTTTTGATTGTTGCTCAGGATTATTTGGTTGCACTTTCTCTTATAAGCTAAGGGCTTTCGAGTCCATCTGATTTTTGGAGTATCGTGAGACTGAAAATCCAAACGGAAAACAAATTGCCAACTAACAAAGCCGGAAGCAATCCTTTAAAGACGTCAGATACAACAGTGGACAATCCCAACATCTTGCCCCCGGAACCCTAATACAGATTGTCGTTGTGTCCTAAAGGAAGGTACATGATTGTATCCTCTCCCTCGCCGTCCATCAGGGCATTTGAATGAACCCCCAGATAATTTTGTACCCCTCCCCACCAGCCCCAACCCCAACCCCAACCAGTACCACCAAAAATGCCAGCCCCCACCTCTCTATTTTGTATGAACCAAAACAGTAACCCACCCATTCACAGCTCATTAAGTAGGCGAAGGGTACCACTGTTAGCCTGGTTCCTTGGCTCAAGGAATCGATTCGGCTCACAGCCAAAGTGTGGCAGGAACTGAAAGAGAGCTTTGAATATCAGCTAGAGATTTCCATTAAATCAAACCTGCCTTTGGCTAAGCAATGTGCATGATCAGTATGTTTATACACAGAAATGCAACATGGGGGCAGCACGGTGTATCTGAAAGACTCCAACATTGCAGGATAGCTCAACAAACATATGTATGCTAAGGAATCAGCAACCATTGCAGCTAAAGCCATACTCTCACTTCCAACTAACTGCTGGTTACATACTGCTTTACAGTCTGGTCGCCGATATCATTTGCATATTCTCTTAAAGTGATATCACAGCAGAGCACAACCACAAGAATGTCAAGGGTGAGTAGTGAATAAATGGGGCAGTGAGAGATCTCTGAAAGACAGATTCTGTGACATTCAGGGCACACATGGGAAGCGTATAAAACTATCCCATTAACTCCAGGGAAGCCTTAACAATACAGACAGCACCTGAGGAGAAAGAAACGATGATGCTGAAACAAAAACAGAAATTGCTGGAAAACCTCAGCAGGTCTGGCAACATCTGTGGAGAGAAATCAGAGTTAATGTTTCGGGTCCAGTGACCCTTCTTCAGAACTGATGGTAGCTAGGAAAAGTTGGTTTTTATGCAGAAGATATGGTAGGGGAAGGGTGTAAGGAGTAAACGATAGGTGGAGATAGAGCCCAAAGATAAAGAACACTTGGACAGAGAAAGGAGTGGATAACGGTCAGCCTAGGAAAATGATTGGCTGCTAATGGCGATTATTAGTGGCTAACAATGGGTAGTGTGTAATAAGTGTGATAACAAGGCCTGGTGTGTGGAGTTTGGGGTAAGGACATGGGAGAAGGTGCCTCAAGCCCTAAATCTGTGAACGCGGGAGGTATGGTTAGTAAGTTTGCAGATGACACCAAAACTGGTGTAGTGGACTGTGAAGGAGGTTACCTCAGAGTTCAACAGAAGGGAAAGATTTAAAAGGGACCTAAGGGGCAATATTTTCATGCAGAGGGTGGTGCATGTATGGAATGAGCTGCTAGAGGAAATGGTGGAGGCTGGTACAATTACAACATTTAAAAGGCACCTGGATGGATATATGAATAGGAAGAGTTTAAAGCGATACAGGCCAAATACTGGCAAACAGGACTAGATTAATTTAAGATATCTGGTCAGCTCTATGCTGAACTCTATTGACTCCAGAAGACTGTAGAGTTCACAAATGGAAGAGACAGATGATAGCAAACTTTCATCAGTAATGAAGATTGTCAAAAGGTTCAATAGGGTAGATGGCAGACATTATTTCCATTTGCAGAGGAATTGCAGAGAAAATAAATATTAGAGACAGTCAATTTAAGAGAATCACTACAAGATCAAATAGAGAATTCAGATGTATCTTTGCCTACACAGCACTGAAAATCTAGAAGCACTAGGAGTGACTGTATAAATATATTGAAGGCAAAGCTAAACAAACAGATGAGGAAGAAAGGAATGGAGAAATAGGTGGATAGGATGAAGCTATGTGGAGCTTAAACACTGCTAGAGACCATATGGTTTGACTGTAAATTCAGTCTTATTCCTGAGACAGGAATCTAGCCTAGAGCTTTACAGCTGTAGAAGATTAGGTTTTTCCACCTTCAACCCTGTGCCACTATACAAATTGTACCAGGAACAAAGTTGCTGGAAAAGCTCAGCAGGGCTGGTAGCATCTGTGAAGGAACAAAAAGAGTTAACGTTCGGATCCAGTGACACTTCCTCAGAAATGTACCAGGACTCATCGGTCTCCAATGCACCCCTATCATAGTCATATACAATGACATACGAAAGATGGAGGCCATTCAGTCTATCATATGTGCTGATATCCCAGAGCTCATTGATCTAAGTCACGGGTGTTCCAGGGCCAAGGAGGAACGGCCAGTCCAGTTGGGAAAAAGGTAAATCGAGTCCTTTCGTTTTCTAAGGTAACAAGGTGTAGAGCTGGATGAACACAGCAGGCCAAGTAGCATCAGAGGAGCAGGAAAGCTGACATTTCAGGCCTAGACCCTTCTTCAGAAATGGGGAAGGGGAAGGGGGTTCTGAAATAAATAGGGAGACAGGGGGAGGCGGATAGAAGATGGATAGAGGAGAAGATAGGTGGAGAGGAGACAGACAGGTCAAAGAGGCGGGGATGGAGCCAGTAAAGGTGAGTGTAGGTGGGGAGTTAGGGAGGGGATAGGTCAGTCCAGGGAGGATGGACAGGTCAAGGGGGCAGGATGAGGTTAGTAGGTAGGAGATGGGGGTGGGGCTTGAGGTGGGAG